CTTCTGTTTTATCAGAATTCGAGAGAAGAACTCGATCATTTTCATCTTTGAGAGTAGATGCAATTCTTGAAGTAGCTACTCGGCGTTTAATGAAGCCAAAAAGCTCTCGCATGTTGAACGCTGTCATTTTGCGCTGCTTATAATTATTGATTCGAAGCTCAAATTCTCTGAGCAGATTGATGCGGTTGTCAGGAGAGCTTATACTTTTTTTGTTTGTGCTTTTTCGAAGTGTAAAAACTAACTCGCCTGTGCTTCTGACACGTCTCTACAAGTCTCTAGTTTGTCCCCACTTTGAATATTGTTCCCAGGTGTGGAACCCCAATCGAAAAAAGGACATTGAAAAACCTGAAAAAGTGCAAAAACTTTCATGCGTTTGTTGTACAAAAGAGTCTCTCCTAATAATGCCCCTCCTGCTTATGAAGTACGACTAAAAAGCTAAATCTACAAAGTCTCTCTTTTCTTCGTAATATCTCTGACCTAATTTTTTGTTTCCAAGTGCTTAGAGGAGAAAACAGACTAAAACCAAGTAAATACTGGGTTTTTATGCCAGCTAGTCAGAGATTGGGAGGCTTCAACCTTCATCACGTCAAGATTATGAGATACAATAAAGATAAAATGCATAATTATCTGTTTTGTAGGATTGTACGCTGGTTTCAGCTCTTACCCAAGGATTTAATTGCTTCACGCTGTGCACAGTCCTTTAAGGCTAAGTTGATCAAATTGACCGAAGGTGAAAAACCACATCTACCCTTTTAAAAGCGTATTATTTCAGTTGAATTTCTTCTTATTTGGTCTCTCATCAGTCTTTCTTGTATTGTGCTATGGAGTTCTGCTGCTTTGGCTACTCTGATGCCAGCTTGATTACGAACAAACGACACAGGATACACTATACGAACTTACTCATTTTCAATCGTTTACATGTCAAGTTGATTCTACCAGACGGTTTTTTCTACTTTTATCCCTAATTATGGCAGAAATTTGACTACTTCGACCCTAGATAATCTTACGTCATTCTACTTTTGACTGCCCGAGAAGTACTTAGTGTGAGCTCAGTGAATCAGCCTAGGCACGCATGGTTTCGCCCATTCGCCTTGCTCTCACCCTCTTTATTAAACAATAGGAAGTCTTGCACTATATCCTAAAAAAGTATTTCATAACAGGGGATAGCTAGGGTGAGCTCAGTGAATTAACCTAGACATGCATGGTTTAGCCCATTCGCCTTGGTCTCACCCTGTTACATCAAATCTGGTCTTGAAGTAGAGAGAAATGTGAAAACTATTACTGGCGCTGTTAATCCAGCCGCAAGTTCTGATCACTATCCAAATGAGCGTTTCAAACAGGTAATATAGTGGTCAAGTTTGGATGCTATAATTCCATTTCATTTCATGTTAGTTTGGTAGTATCAAAACTAAAAGCATTTTTTTCTTTGAATGGTATTTTATCCGAGTTCTTTTTTATTCCTCATGACTATTGCCTAGACTTTTGAATAGTCGATGGCGCACTTCCGGTGCAATAAATAAATAAATAAATAAATAAACTAAGTCACTGCCCAAGCGGCAGCTCAGGTAGAGACTAATGGCTGAGATATTCGCCTCGAAACTGGACCCCGGGATCGTTTCGCATGGATTCATGGCACAACTCATCAATTTCGCGCGAGGACCCATGAGTTGCACCATGACTCCACGCGAAATACGGTCCCGGGGTCCAATTTCGAGGCGAATATCTCAGTCGTTAAAGCACCACCTGAGCTGCCGCTTGGGCAGTGGCTTAGTTAGGGTCTCAAAATCACTCTACAAGTGAGAACCCCATATGTCCAGATCTGCCTGGACGCTGCCTTGAAGTGGATGACGCACTATTAAACTAGATTCGAGTTTTCTTCCGATCCGTCGACCATACAGTCTGCTCCAATCGGGATCAGGCCAAACCGTCGGCGTAAATTTGCGCACGCGCAGCGCTAACGGTCTGCGCTGCATATGCGCGCTGTCGGAGAGAGCAAAAGGATTGCAGAGAGAGCAGAGAAGCAGGCTGTGGGCGTGACCGCGAAACCCTAACGACGCGAACTTCCGCCATGCCAATTTTGGCCTGGTTGGGATTGGGGCAGACTGTATACCTACTGTAACATCAGGACATCGCGCTTGCTTGCAAACACAACGTGATCATTGTGCTGAATTACTTACAGGGACCAAACAATAGTGAAATCTTTGACTTTGACACCCGTGTCATATAACTTCCTAACATGACTGTACGAGTTTCCACCTTCCAAAATAGAAAAAGTTTGTTTCCAAACAGCGCTTATATTCTGCTTTGCCCTGCAATGTGTGGAAGTTCCTCGGTACGTATTCAATGGTATCGCACAAAAAGCTGTAAGGGGATTCTTTTATACGCTACCGCACACCCGATAGTAAAGGATGTTCGTCGACGACTGCCCCGACTGGTGTAATCTCACAATTGCGCGAGTGCGTTTTTGGGTCCTTTCCAGCTTTACAGTACACTGCAGCGCTCGGGGAGTTTTCAGCTGGCACCATCCATGTCCTATAACCTTCCTTGTTATTTAAGCGTTTCTCATTCCTTTTTCTTCATGAAATCCATTTTAGGCACCTATTCCTCCTTCCTTTCATTCTTGTTCAACCGCTGGATACATCCTACAAGTTCTAGAGTGTGTGGTCCGTGGCACTATCCATGGGTATTCCGCCACACACGCAACGCCGCTCGGGTTGCCCTTGCAAGCTCAAAGGAACATCTGGGGGGCATGTATCAATCGCCCGTCCGGGAAAGTTACCCGCACAGGTAGTCCTCGCTTCATAGCTCGGTGCTCTAGGGATCTGTGTCCTTGCTTGTCGCTTATATTTGGGAGACTCTACTAACCTAATATTATAGCACAATGAGTAGCAGCACTTTGCTCTATAAGCTGAGATATTTCGTTATTTGTATGATCCCGAACGGGATCTCCCACTGATCACGCTCATTTTCAAAGTTATTTATATCCGCAAAAACTCAATGAAAACGTCACGGAGTTTTGTTATCGATCTATTACGATAGCGCTACGCATGTTTTTAGTAGCACAGATGAAATGTGAAGTTCTGCGTTTTTCGACAAAGCCCAACTCGCGAGCACAGATTCATCGGAGATTTTGCCAGCTTAATTTTCACTCATTTCTTTCACAAACATGCGTAGCACTGTCGTAATAAATCGACAGCAAAACTCTGTAACGTTTTCATTGAGTTTTTGCGGATATAAATATATTTGAAAATGAGCGTGATCAGTGGGAGATCGTGTCCGGGATCATACAAACAAAGATATATTATTATTATAGAATTATATTATATTATTATATTCTATATTATTATAGAATTATCTCAGCTTATACAGCAAAGTGCTGCTACTCATTGTGCTACAATATTAGGGAAGTAGGGCCTCCAAAAGATGAACAAACAAGGAAGAATACAGATCCCCAGAGCACCGAGCTTGGAAGCGAAAACTACCTGTCCGGGTAACTTACCCGGACGGGCGATTCATACATACCGCCCCTGATCAACGAGATTTTTCGCTCTAAAGGATATTCGTCGACGACTGCCCCGACTCGTGCAATTACACCACCTTGGGTGTGCTTTACTAAAGCCTTTCCAGCTTTATATTTAGTACGCTGCAGCGCGCGGGGACTTGGTAGCTCGCATCCCTGTCCTTTCCCTGCCCTGTCCCACTGTCAAGCTGGAAAGGCTCTGTCGCGGCTCCGCGATGCGAGCGCTCCTAAAAGTAGGGCCGGGAGCACTGGTCGCTGCCGCGCTATCTGGCGACGATTACGGTACTTTCCCATGCTTGCAATCGCCGCTGGACCTCCCCTCGCCTTGGCGCGTTGCCAGCCAAAAGGCTATATATAGCGTCGGCGCCTCAATGCAGCGTCTGTTCGCTTCCTTTTCGATCAATAGCCTTTTCTCGTGTTTTATATTGTGCTCGTGCCTGGCAGTTAGCTTCCGCTTTAGATGTCTCTTTTGCGTTAGCGGTCGAGCGGATCGGAAGTTCTACTAATCTGGAATTCGAGCTTGATTTGGGATTGTTTCAGACGAGGCACTTCTGGAGTGAAAATGAGGATATTGAAGTCTTGTGAACCTTGGGACCGAAGAGGCTGTCGCGCCTGGTATCCGGCGACGCGTGGCGGATCTGTTAGGTGAAGCCTCGGGAGCATCGTTATTGTTAGAGATTGTAGACGCGCTTCATCGGTAACACGGGATGGGGCAGCTTGTCCCGTGTTGAGCTTATTATCGTTTAGTAGTTTAGTCTCGATTTTAGTAGTTTTCTTCGTAGTTTAGTTGTAAGTTTTTATGTAACTTTTATTATCCTTTGATGTCATAAGGATAAAACCTTAGTGTTCAATGTGTTGCTTAGACGCGCTTAGGGCAAGTAGTAGGATAGGTTGCGTCGTATGTACTAAGCGGGCGAGCGTGCGGGTGTCTCGGGTAAATCTAGGTGCTTAGGGCCCACGAGCAGCCACAGGCTCCAAAAAAGGACGCTTACGGTGGTGATCGCACTGGGGCAGTCGTCGACGAATATCCTTTACTTCTTTTTTGCTATTCTTTCCAACAAGTTCTTTTTCTCGTAGGAATACGTCCTCTGAACATGGTCAGTGGTAACTTACAGGTTTCTTCTGCGCTGTTGTGATGTTTGTTGAGCTTTTTTAAGTGACTTCCCAGTAATTTTGGTGGTTCACGAATTGTTGTCCCAACATAAAAGATAGATAATGAGGACCTCGACTCGACCCGTCGATGTGCAACCTCAAACTTGGGTAATTAAACTTTATTCGTTACCAACGGAACAACGGATCAACAAACAACGAATTCATGTAAAATACAAAATAGAACCTCGGTGACAACATGAATGAATGAAGGATCATGGATACTCGTAAGCATGATAAACATACTGACGTATGAATAAGAAAAACAGAACTTAGGATAAGAACAAAAGAACCTGAGATAAGTGAAAAGGACCTAAGAATAACAAAGTGCTCAGTGCCCGGCAAAATGATAAGATTGATTCGTCATTAATCCCGCTCCCCTTTTATAGCGGCGGATCGAACGTTGACCTACGTTGATCGGGTGCTGCGATCCAGCACACTCCGGCGGGGCTTGATGGACGTCGTAGTTGCCCAGAAGAATAAGAGTGTTTTGCTCGTCCGCGATGTCCAATGTGTCCTCCTTTGCTTCCTCTTCTTTCGGCTCCGATTTCTGTTTCTGTAGTTGTACGACCGTGTTGATTTGTGCTTCTAGTAGGAGTTCGGCGTGCTTTCCCACCTTCTTTCCAACTCCCCTAATCTGGAGTATATTTTCTGGCAGAGCGTGTAGGTTTTGTTCATGATTCTGGTTTGTTCGACGCTCATTCTATAATGAAGAAGATTCATTTTGCATTCTTGGTTATAAGGGTAATTTTGGTTCTGTATCCTGGATCTAAAGTTATACCGCATCTGGCTGTTGTTTTTGTGTTGGTGTGTCGTCAGGTGCGTCGATGCGTTCTTCTACCTCCTGTTCTCGATTCTGAGGATATCAGAGTCGATCTCCAAGGGGACAATAGAAATGGGTCGTTTAGTAACTTTACCATTGCCCATTTTTATATGAACTTGGGAAACTTCACCGTCCCCGGACTGCTGCAATAATAAAATTTTGCTAATTTCCATTTGTTGCGCGGTCGGTGTCCTTGTATGAGAACAACTTGTCCTACTTTGGATGTTGATGTTGTGCTCCTACCCTGAGTAAGATGATGTATATGTTGTTCTGTGAGGGAAGTGAGGTATGCGTTTTGCCACTCCCGCCAAAATTTGTCCACTATTTCCGTGGAGGCTAGCAATGCCTGCCCTGCTTCTAGGCGTGTACCAGTGGCGTACCGAGGGGGGGGGGGGGGGGGCGGGGGGGGGGGGCGCGCGCCCCCCCCCCCCCCCCCGAGAATGGGTCGCGAAATTTTTGAAAGTTACTTATATGGGTTATAAAAATGTGCAAGTGACTTGTTTCTTTTTGTAAATAATTAAAATAATTTTAAATTTTTAAAAATTCAAATTAGCCTTGTAAAAAAATTTTTTTCGGGGGCGTGGCTGACGCCACGCCCCCTTTTTCCAGATTTTAGGGGTTGGGGACCCGCAAAAATTTTGAGAAGCACCCCCAAAATTTTTCGAAGTGCGTGGCTAACGCCACGCACCTTCTTTAGAAAAAAATTTTTGTCGCGCCCCCTCCGAGCCGAAATCCTGGGTACGCCACTGGCGTGTACGCAACTGAGCCTCTTCTGTAAGTGTGGAAATCAGGGTTGGTACGATCACCTGTATGCGTACGGTATGAGATTGATGTCTTTCTGGAGGAAATTGATGGGTCGCAAAGGTGTAATGTCCTCTATATCAGTCTCCTGATAAGTAAGCGGGAGATTATTCAGACAGGATTCAATCTCAGTCGATATTGTGCGCAAGGAGTCTTCGTCGACGATGTTTCTTCCCAGTGCTTTGAATAATGCTCCCTTTATGTCTTTGATTAGCCTTTCATAAAAGTTTCCTTGCCAAGGGGCATAGGGGGTTATCTTCCGCCAAGTTACCTTGTTGGTCATGACTGTGTCACGAGATTGTCGGATAGGATCTGATCTGCTAATATGAATGCTGCGGCATCGGAGGTAATAATGTTGGGAATTCCTCTTCTTGACATGAATCGTTTCATTACATTGAGGAATGATGTTGTGGTCAAGTCTGTGACTAGCTCTGTGTAAACCAATCTTGATGTTGCACTTGTGAAAATGCAACCGTAAGCATTCTTTTGAATTGCTTCCTTGGTCCTTGTTTTTAGAGGCCCAAATAATCCAGTCCTACGTTTGCGAATGTGCGAGACTTGATTACTCTATTGCCTGGTAAGTCTGCCAGAGGTGGATAACGGTAAGGAAAGCTATTGTCCACTGACATGGTACGCACTGTCTTATGTATTACTTCACTTGCTGTCAAAGCTATGGTATCCAGTAGTTTTTGCGCACTTCACACATTGTGTGTGCAGTGGAACGGTGGTAATGTCCATGTGACTCTCTGATCAAAAGCTGACCCAAAAAAGTGCTAGGCGCGACTAATACTGGATTTTTAGTGTCTGTAGCCGAGTAACTTTCTCCTAGGCGACCGTAACATCGACTTAATCTGTTAGTGTCTTGTCTCACATTCAACTTCCTGTGTAGTGCTGATGTAAATGTTCGTAAAACTGGTTCTGATGGTCTTGCAGGACGTTCATTTCAGCGAGTTTCAAATCTGCCGTGTGATCGATGCATCATTGTCCGCACAATCTCCGAACCCTTGATAACCTTTCTTGTGTTTCGAGAGGGAGATTTCTGGAGCATCGCCGCAGAAATTTCAGTACTATGGCTACGGTGCACCTCAACTGTGACATTGAACTAAATCTTTCGCAGTCAACGAGTTTTTGTGACTGAGGTGTAGTGGACATGTGAAGGATATCCAGGGTGCCTGTTTGCTAATGATCAAGTTGAAAAGGCGATTTTCTTTTGGCCATGTGTCATGGTGACCTAGTAAAAAGTGTGGAACTTCCACCATGTATGGGACTTCAGTTCTTCGGCATTTAGCCCTCGGGTGGCAAAGTCTGCTGATTGGCTTTTGTGCTCACATAGCCGAAGTAAACCTCAATGTTATCGGCACTGAGTTTATCTGCTATCATTCTGACTTCCCTAACTCTGTTGCCTACCAAAACGCCAAAAGTTCTTCAGTCATTTGCTATTTGTAACCAGCTGAGAACTATCTCCGAGTCAGAAAGTAGATAGACTGATTTGATTGTCACCTTTCCTTTTAGCTCTCGGTATAGTGTCAAAAGTAGCCGTGCTGCGATTGTCATCGCGAAAATCTTGGTCCTTACGTGTAGTGGCAGGAGCCATCCTAAGGAGTCGTATATGGTCGCCTCATCTTTAAGACTGTGCGTTTTGTAATCACCGATGCGTGGAGTGTTACATCTTATGACGAGTTTGTCTCTTGCTGTTTCCCACTGTATGCCTAATACCTTTGGGGCTTGCGTATCCTCTGCCTTATCTGTCTAAACTATGGATTGCATAAAGTTGGTATCGTTTGAGATAAACCCTCTCATGTTCATATTGAGACCTTTAAAGATGGTTTTACTGCTGCAATGCGTCTTCTGTTGTTTCTGCTGTTACGAGGAGGTGGTCGACATAATGTTCTCGGTGATTTGTCGCCCATACTCACAAACGAGCGTGGAGTGAAGATGAAACTCGATGGTTGCCGCAAACAGGAAGGGGGATCCATTAAGTGCGAATGTGACTCCTGTAAATCGATATGCAATTATGTTGTAATCATTTAGCGGCCCACCTATGTGTTTAGTTCATAGAAATCTCGTCATATCCCTGTCTTTCTCATGCAGCCTAACTTGTAGGAAGGCCTTTCCGATTTCGACCGTGATAGCGATCTGTCCCACGCGGGAGCGCATCAATAATCCTATTATTGTTGAGTAGAATGACCGGCCCTTGGTGTAGAAGATGGTTTAATGACGGCTTTCCTCTGGGATGCGCAGAGGCATCAAAGACGACTCTTCTCAAGGTTGTTTTCTTTCCTGGATTCAGTACTACTTGATAGGATAGGTGATGCACTCTATTGTTAGCCAATGCAGTCTCTTCCGGAGCCACTTCTATAATTCCCTGTTCGAATTGCTTTTTAAAAATCGCATCTGTTTCTTGCAACTTGTGCTCTCGACTCCTGTATTGTTTGAAGAGGCTACGTAGTCTTGCTAGTGCCATTTGCTTATTGTCCGGTAGAACTGCATGCTCGTCTTTCCACGGTAATCTGACATAATACCCCTCGAGTAGCTTCACTGCTGTTTCTTTGAATCTCTTGAGTATCTTTGCTCCTAGCATTTGTTTCTCATTTTTCCGTGCCTGTATATTCGTTTGTATCGGCTGACTCGAGGGATCAGTATCTATCCATGTGTCGCCCTATTCGTCCGATTATGTACTTAAAACTTGTCCTTTGTTGTTTTCCAGGTTGTTAGCAGAGCGTCCTGACAGCATGTGTCCAAACTTAGTGGAAATCACATAAAGTCCAGATGGAAGTCTAAGTTTTGCCCCTTCCATGAATTCCTACAGGTAATCACAGCCTAGAAGGATCTGTGGCTGTTCTTTCGAATTGCTTGTAGAGACTTCAATTTTGTTTTTCTTGACATATTCAACGCCTTTCTCTGACAGCTGTGGAGTACTAGTAGCTGCTAATGACCGGGCTGTATAGTTTACATTTGTGTATTTGACCTTGTTTGTCGACTAGGTCTATCTACAACACGATGTTGTTTTTCTTTCATTGCTTTTGAGCCAAAGGTTCTGATCTTTAGTGAAGAGCTATCTTGTACTTGTAGCTCCAATTCGTCGATTACTTCGGAGTGGATGAATGAGAGTTCAGATCCCGTGCCCAACAGGATGCGAACCTGTTTGGATTTGCATGGACCTTTGACTCTGGCCATCCCAGTCAAGAGTAGTGTTTTCTTAGCTTGGGCTTTTTCTTCACTAAGTTGGTTAGTGCTGCTTCGATTTCACGATTGTCTTGAGCAAGTTCCTCTTCTTCAGATCATACGTGTGCAAAGGGGGAACATGGCCTCTCCAAGGTGAAGGGGGTCATAGGGGTCCCGCCTCTCCAGGGTGAAGGGGGTATGAGCCGCTGGGGGGGGGGGGGGGAGCGGCCGCGGCTGTGGAGGTGCGTCGACCGGGGGGGGGCAATGTTCGTCATCATTGCTTCCTGTTTTTTTCATTCACATGCATCAAGTGAAATTGTAGCCAGACCGGGTTAAAGTCGAATATTGTTTTTTATCCGCTGAAAATTGAAGAAGAAAAACTGGAATAAGTGGGACTAAGAAACAATATTTTAAGCAAAATTATAAAACTATCGGCATCATTAAAATCAAATTTAGTGAAATGTTGATTCTGAATATTATTATTATGATTGTCAAAACTTACTTGCAGGCTCACTGAGAAGTACATCGGAAATTTGCCACCTATTGTTCACTTCTAGACAACGATGAAAAAGCCTGGAGAAAAATTTACGTGTGAAGCCTTTGTGTATAAACGTCAATGAAGTTATTACTCACGTATTTGCTGAAATAATAAGTGAAATAATAAATGAACTTTGATGATTGGTGCGCAGTTAAATTGCATTCTTTTTAAAAGGTATAAATTTTCTAAGCAGATAGCGGAATCCGTGTAAAGTCATTGAATGATTCCTTAAAGAGTCATTGTTCCAACTTTTAATATTATTTCTAAACTCCGAAAGAGATCGTAACATTTGCGTAGAGAAGCAAGTGCAACAGAGGCACCTATTACATCAAAGAGTTGGTGTAATCAGGGTTAGATTCACTGTCAAAATGTTATAGCTACGAGAATGGTGGAGTTCTACAATCCACCTACTTGGACGATGATAGGGATGAGGAAAGCAGCCAGAGATGCATTTTTCCACCTTGGAGCACTATACAAGAGGAGAAGGACAATCTTATATGATCACTGCGTGATTATTCTGAAAAAATTTTTGTTTCCCATCGAAGAAGATTGAGAAATATAAAAGATCTTAGAAGGAGAACTCGGTCATAATTAGCCTACTCTAGTTTAGAAGTCTACTTTCCATCCGCTTTCAGAAAACATACAGCTTGCCAGGAAAAAGTGGGGTTTATTCTGCTAAATAGAAATAGTTTTAGTCATTTTTTTCAAAATTGTAGAATTTTTCTATAAAAAATTGTAGATTTTTGATATGAGAAGATAAGAGAGTCTCTAGCCATACATTGAATTACTCTTGTTGAAAGCTTCCAGAAAATATATAGCTTACCAAGGAAGAAAGGATTTTCCTGCACTGTGAAGGTGGTCGCAATTGTTTTTCTAAAATTAAGGAAATTTTTTTTATAAAAATTCATAACTTTACTATACGAAAACTAGAAGAGTGCTTTGCACTCTATTGGAATCCCCTCGTCGTTCGCTTTCAGGAAATATATAGTTTGCCAGGAAAAAAGAGGATTTTCCTATCGGGTGAAAGGGGTCGCTGTCTATTTTCCGGAATTAAGCCAATTTTTAACTTTAAAAAATCCTAACAATTTTATATGAGAAGCTGGGAGAGTGATTAGGTGTTTATTGAATTCCCCTCGTCGTCCGCTTTCAGAAAATATATAGGTTGTAGGGAGAGGGATGCTAAAAGTACCTGGTGAAAGGGGGAGGAACATGGTATAATGGGCATGTTCCTTTAGCTCCTTAAAACGACGCTTTTTGAGTACAGAAAGGGAGATTTCCATTATACCATGTCCCTCCCCCCTTTCACCAGGTACTTTTAGCATCCCTCTCCCTACAACCTATATATTAGGTTGTCAAGAAAAAATGTTGTTTTTTATTTGCTTGCTTTAACAAAGCAACCAGACTCAACCCAACAAAGGGTAATGGGTATTGTTCGGTAGAGCAAAGCAAGCTCTACGAAATGGCGTTCATGATTTTGCGCCAAGCCCGATCCATGAAATGTTCAAACTCAAAATCTGAAGATTTCCAAATGCCCAAGAAATCGAAAAAAATCAGATCTTTGTCCAAATAATTTCTACGGACCTCCCACTCGCACACGTCAATACTTCCGATATGTGCTACCCATATGTGCAACTGCTGTACTTTTTCCTTAACTAGAAACTGAGAAAACGAAAATTTTCGTAATATTTTTAAGCTATGCTGAGCCATTCTTGCATATGTGATTCTATACTACAAGCCTAGGTAAGTATAACTGTAGATTTTCAGCCCATTCCGAGCAGTAGTTTTCGAGAAATATCGAAATTAGCTTTCTTCTTCTTAGTTTCAGTGCTAAAAGCGACATTTCTCGAAAACTACCGCTCCGAGGCTGAAAATCTACAGTTATACTTATCTAGGCTTGTAGTATAGAATTACATATGCAAGAACGGCTCAGCATTGCTTTTAAAAAAACACGAAAATTTTCGTTTTTTCAGTTTCTAGTCAAGGAAAAAGTACAGCAACTGCACATATGGGTATCACATATCGGAGGTATTGACGTATGCGAGTGGGAGGTCCGTAGAAATTATTTAACCGAAGATCTGATTTTTTCCGATTTTTGCCCATTTGGAAATCTTCAGATTTTCAGTTCGAACTTTCCGTGGATCGAGCTCGGCGCAAAATCATGAACGCCTTCTTGTAGAGCTTGCTTTGCTCTATCAAACAATACCGATTACCCTTTGTTGGGTTGAGTCTGTTTGCCTTGTTAAAGCAAGCAAATAAAAAACGACATTATTTTCTTGACAACCTAATATTTTCTGAAAGCGGACGACGAGGGGAATTCAGTAAACACCTAATCACTCTCCCAGCTTCTCATATAAAATTGTTATGATTTTTTAAAGTTAAAAATTGGCTTAATTCCGGAAAATAGACAGCGACCCCTTTCACCCGATAGGAAAATCCTCTTTTTTCCTGGCAAACTATATATTTCCTGAAAGCGGACGACGAGGGGATTCCAATAGAGTGCAAAGCACTCTTCTAGTTTTCGTATAGTAAAGTTATGAATTTTTATAAAAAAAATTTCCTTAATTTTAGAAAAACAATTGCGACCACCTTCACAGTGCAGGAAAATCCTTTCTTCCTTGGTAAGCTATATATTTTCTGGAAGCTTTCAACAAGAGTAATTCAATGTATGGCTAGAGACTCTCTTATCTTCTCATATCAAAAATCTACAATTTTTTATAGAAAAATTCTACAATTTTGAAAAAAATGACTAAAACTATTTCTATTTAGCAGAATAAACCCCACTTTTTCCTGGCAAGCTGTATGTTTTCTGAAAGCGGATGGAAAGTAGACTTCTAAACTAGAGTAGGCTAATTATGACCGAGTTCTCCTTCTAAGATCTTTTATATTTCTCAATCTTCTTCGATGGGAAACAAACATTTTTTCAGAATAATCACGCAGTGATCATATAAGATTGTCCTTCTCCTCTTGTATAGTGCTCCAAGGTGGAAAAATGCATCTCTGGCTGCTTTCCTCATCCCTATCATCGTCCAAGTAGGTGGATTGTAGAAGTTCACCATTCTCGTAGCTATAACATTTTGACAGTGAATCTAACCCTGATTACACCAACTCTTTGATGTAATAGGTGCCTCTGTTGCACTTGCTTCTCTACGCAAATGTTACAATCTCTTTCGGAGTTTAGAAATAATATTAAAAGTTGGAACAATGACT